TATTGATTTAGTAAAATTCAGTAAAATATGGAACTATATTTAAAATTACATTTATTTGATATTATTACATAAAATATTATTATTTTACTGAATCTATAATAAATCTAGATTTTTAAAACTATTGTAAGTGGTTTTTGAAATTAAATTGATTAGGTAGATTTCAAATTAAGGCCGGGTAACAGAGAAAATGGCGAAAATGAGGTTTTCATTTTTCATTTTTGAGGTACTAAACAGTAAAATAAAAGGCTAAGATTTTTTTTGGGCATAGTTGAGGATATTTTCTAGGGCTATTAACGGATGGAAACACGATTTGATGAAGTTGACTCGATAGAATAAATTCCCAAAGTTACCTCTATTCGTTTTCTAATAATGGTTTTATTTTTAAAATAAGCGATTTGAGATTCTGAATCTTTTACTAAACTAAAGTTCAGAAATAACTTGAGGGCTTTTAACGGATGAAATTTTTATATTGCGTCTTATTTAGTTACTATGTTAAAAAATGTGGAAAAAATCGCCCATGACGGCTTGGACAATCTCAATCAGTCGCGCGGTGGCGCTTACGGAGGACGGACGCGTGCCAGTTTTTTGGCCGTGACAGTTCTCGATATGTCAATATTTTTGACAATGATGACTTTGATGAGTCACAGTATAATAATACCAGTGTTACTGGAGAAAGCTAAAATTTTTGATAATTAAGAATTCTGAATTTTGTCTACCTATTGAAATTTAAATCGTTGGCATCCTTTTAAACTAAGACTCTACTCATGATACATTCCTCAAATATGAGACAAAACCAATGAGTTAAAATTACATTTTAATAGTACCTACATACAATCGTCTTCACTCTTTAGAAGAGCACACTGACACAAATAAATAAGAGCGAAGCCGCGGGCGGAAAGCTAGTATGTAATAGAAAGAGAGGTCAATAAGTCAAAATGACTAGCATGCAACTACTCGCGTATAAATTGTAATCACGCACTTATTACAATACATAGGTACATGATTAGTCCGTATGCGTACTGGCGATGTATATTTTGGAGGAAGATAATTGACCTAAGTCACTACAAAGTATACGCGAGCAGTACGCAGCGTATGCGTACTGGTCGTGTATAGTTTGGAGGAGCTTAGTAAAAAAAGTCATATCCAAACTATACTCGATTAGTTTCACACCCTTGCGTTCTGGCTATGTATAGAATGGAAAGACGCAGCGTCGCTAAGCAGGCAAAAAATGAAAACAGACTCGATATACGTTTGAGCATGTTCTTATGCTGACGGACCTTGAAACCGATTGGCTTCAGGTTTTGTACTTCTGAACGGACGAATGACACAACTGTGTTAGATAAAATAGATAGAGAAAGACAAGTAAGTATACCTACTTACTTGGCTGATCTCCGCTGGGGCAGAAAAGTTCTCGAGTGGCGACCACGAGCCGGAAAACGTAGTGTGGGCAAGGCTCCTATTAGGTGGACCGACGATCTGGTGAAGGTCGAGAGAGGCCTGGATACGGGCGGCGCAGGACCGGTCTTTATGGAAAACCTTGGGGGAGGCCTTGGTCTAGCAGTGGACGTCTTTCGGCTGAAACCAATGAACGAACGATTTAAGTGCTCTAGAAAAACCAAGAATGTTTAGGATGTCCCATGAGGGGGGTGAAACGATATTACGTATCCTCGCAGACTGTGGACCTATGAAGCGCAAGCGTAGCTTAAACGTAAGCAAACATATCCTAAGCCCTCAGGATACAACATATCGCTCCCAAAAGATACTGCACTACCTAATAGATGCAGGGCTCGGATTCGAACTGTGCTATAGTGGCGATCACAACAAAATGAACTAAAATAGCCGCTCAGCAAAAAAACGTACACTAAGGGTTAGTTGCACCATCTTACTTTAACTTTGACAAACGTCAAAAATCTGTCAAACCATACAAAAAGCACCGGTCAGTGTAATTGTAACGGTTAAAATAAGGTGGTGCAACTCAGCCTTAGAGGAATACGTGAGACGTTTTCATTTCATAGGTTACCAAATAATGATCAGACAATTTAATTAAAGATCGACATGATGGCATTTATGTAATTAATACCGACACTTGTTTCATAAATCATTCCTAGTATCCATCACAGTATAATTAATTACAATAAAATCTTCATGATATTATTTTAAGGTTACATCAGATTTTGAATATCATACCTACACCAGAGCTAGAGATTTTTCTTTTTCTTTCTTCTCAGTCACGCCAGTTTTTTTCCAAGTGAAATGCATTTATAGAGCAAAATCTTTATGACTTGATTTACCAACATGATCTAGTAAGTATTTTATGTTTTCGCATTGAAAAACAAGAATGTCAGGTCAGCAGAATGTTACATTTTGTATTCTCAGCATGCGCAGGCGCCCGTTGGTCTCATTCCGAATGCAACGAAAGCAATGCACCCGGAATTTGCTGAATTAACGAGAAAGTTCAATTTATTGCGAGCACTCGTACTTACGTTAAGCATTTATTGACTTCTTAGTTTGGAAAATTCCAGCGAATTTAGTGCACAAAAAGGCAAGTTGTTTGTGTGGTGTTTTCGCGTGGGCCATAATGTTTTGCCTCAGGATTCCCAAGGCCATTCCTTCTTGAAATGGTGAACGTGATCTTATTTAGGAACAATAAATATTCTATTTCTATCATTTTCAATTTTCCCTTCACTTCTAGTGAAGCACACTGGTGGTGCTTTTCAAACACTTATCTATTTCTGTTTACCATAACGTCCTCCTTTTATTTATTATCATTTTAGTCTACTATCGCGCATACTTATCTGCTTCTAAACCGGTTTTCGCTATTTAGTTACTTCAAGAAAGTTTGTGAATTCATAATGGCATATAATCCATGCGACTTTCGTTATTTGTAGTTTTATCAACTTTGTTAAATAATCTAAAATAAATAAGATATAGCCTGACCAGGAACATAAAAACCCTGGCATAGAGCATTGAGTTATAATGTACTACGTAGTAATATTACTTCAATGGCATAGAGGCGCTTCAATTGCATTTGATAGTGCAACACTGAGTACAGTCGTACATGTGTTAAATTAATAGGCTAAATAAAATGTATCAGGATTCAGGATTACGGGCTAATTTGATATTTTCATAAATGAACGAAAAATATTATTAAAGGTAACCTGGTTTAAATAAATTAAATGAAACGATCAATCGAGCTAGTAGGATTTATTTTATTATTCATCAATAATCAAATTCAGAACTTGAATATTCAACTGCAATGTCTGCTCATGAACGCTTCAAACTCGGTACTCGGCTTCTTTCCCAATTCCATAAAATTCAAAACTTAGAAAGTGACAAAAAACTTTAAAATAGGTAGTTGAAACAGACTACAGCTAATTTTCATAGTGGACTGTACTATACGATAAACATGTCAGTAAATTTGACAACCTTTGTCGGAAACATTATTCAATGAAAATATTGTCCGAACCCTTAGTATTTCTCTTCGACAAATACATTAACACATCGTGAACCACTTTTCTTTCACGACTATAAAAATATTTTAGCAATTTAATTCACAAAATCAATTGCACCATTTAAAATAAAGTTTGTTTACACTTTGACAACAATAGACTGACATGCAAGGTGACATGTCAATGAAGTTTTCAGTTACTGTTGCCATTAAAAGAAATTAGTACCATTAGTTTTCCGCAACATGGCGAGGGTTTTTATGTTCCTGGTCAGGCTATAAAACATAAAAACCTTCAAGGGTCAGGTAGATTGTAAAACAATTAAAGGAAAAAAATAAATTAGAAAACAATTGAGTTCAAAACAAAAGGAAAACTTCGCAGCCGGTGACGGTTGATAGATTGACGTCATCGCATCGGCTGCATAGGTCAGTGCAACGCGCAGCAGTTCTTCATTAGGGCATGTAATTATAAATTAGGTGTACCTACTTAGGTAGGTACCTACTTAATTTGAAGAGTCATTACAATTTGATTCTAAAGTAGTAAATGAGGGAGAAGCAATTCAATAATTATTTATTTTGCAATAAAAAAAATAAAACACACTTTTTAATTAATTGGTAGGTAGGACAACGAAATATTAAGTAATTGGTATTTATGCTAGAACATTATTTACAGCTGAAATCACTTTGCGTTTTACTTTACGAATGATTTCAATGAAGAAGCAGGGGTACTTTTAAGAGTATAATTAGTAGTTCAAAAATATATCAAGACCAAGATTATGAAAATGCTTGATGGACCATTAGTTAGAAGATAGCTGGTGGCAGTAGCTGAATTAAAAAAAAAACAAGAGTTTGTGCTTTCTGGCGCTATTAGACTATACAGTGGACTGCCACTACTTAGCTGGAAAAATGATGAGCCCTTTTCATTAGACAACATTTTTTACAGATATTTTTTTACATTTCTTAATTTAGGGACAGATTCGATATGGTCTACAAAAAACAAATGGGAAAATCAATTTATCGAAATTAATAAAAAAGTTCGGCATCATGGTCATGTACTCATGTCATAGGTACCATCATTTATCAGAAGCCCACTGTCATCTCAATTAAAATGCTCAATTAATTTCAACAAATAAGGCCTGATCATAGCAACCGCATCTCAATCAAAATATTATTCTTACGCCATTTTCAAGGCTACAAACAAACAATAAATCACAATTAACAATCCCATTGTAAGATTTTAATTAACTGTGTGTCATGTTTCTTTTTATTAGAGACTTAGCGTTCGGACGAGTTCTGCTGAATATTAAACTGCTATCAAAAATAGCATCATCGCAAACCGTTTTCACAAATGAGTGTATTTTAGTGTTTAATGGCTCGCAGATATGAGGACTTGGATGTTCTTATCTCGTTATGTATAAAGGTCAAAATGAAACGCGAAGGCGCCATGCGCCATTCGAACGTACAACGCTTCTAAATCACCAATTAATGATCCCTATTACGATACGCGTAAAGCACATTATTTAACGATGTTGTTGTAACTGTGCAACACGCGCGCAAGGCATCGCATGCGCAGTCTTCTCGGCGCTCGCTTGCGTTGCGCCCGCGTCGCTCTGTCGGAAAAACGGTGCGTGTTTTGCGAAAACTAGTAATAATCTTATATAAAATGATGTTATACCTCCTAACGTTACGGAGGCAGTTCCACGGGAAGTGATAAACGCTCATAATGCCAGAGTGGACGGATCAGTTTACCTTCACCATACCGATCATCCGCTACACGATGGAGCCCGAAGACCAATCGGAGAGCGAGAGGCAGCAGCCCATGACGAAGAAGATGTCTCTGCTGACCCCTGTAAAGATAGAGACTCCTGACAGCGGCAGGAGGAATTCGGAGCCCACCAGATATTACATTCCTCCTCAGTGCAATAACAGACTATCTCCCCGGAGTGCGAGGAAGCGTGATAACAGGAGAAATTCTAAGACTGATTTGAAAGATGATTCCCCTCCCAAGGATACTTTAGGCCCCAAGCCGTGTAATTGTGAGGACTGTAGAGCGTCGAGTCCTCTGCCGCCAGGGTATGGGCCTCAGACGCTGTCTCCTGGTTACGACCAAATGAAGAGTTCGTTGTTAGAAGTGCCGTGGACAGAGGATTACACCGAAGCTTCGAGTGATGATCTGAGCTCCGAGTGGGATTCCGACGTGCCGGAGCCCCCGCGTCCTGTTCAAAAGGTAATTTATTTTGATAGAATTTCCGTAACTACAACGTGTTGTTTTAAGTTATCTATAGCTACGCCGTAATGATTGTATCCTGCTATTACAAGACCTTCAGTTTTAAAAGCTATTGCGTTATCCTTGTGAATTACTATTTATAAACCTACTAATTAGATTTGGGTCATTGGAATTCCACTTTTTGCGACATCACGTTTATTCGAGCCGGCGATCTTCAGTTGTGATTATTTCGACATTCTTACTTTTATTCCAAACCACTGTAGTTTTGAAAACAAGCATAAAATCATTACGTTATTTAGCTCTCTTATTCATAAAAAAAATAGTCTTAGGACACCGTTTTACCTAATACAATACTGTCACTCTTTCTTGTTAAATATTGATGATGTTAAGAAACAAAACAGTTTTTATTTTAAAACTGTGTTTACAAAAGTTTATGAATTATGTGGTAAGCCTAAAACTCTCTCTCAAATATGTAAGGTAAAAAAAGCGGTTAGTGAAATTAATAAAAATGGAGGAAACAGAATATATTTAAACCCCTACCAAGAGCGGAAAGCGAAATAATTGAAATAAATAACATTTCTTATTGAAAACACCGTTACAAAAGGCTCATGTTGGTACTCGTGACTTTGACGTCAGAACAGAAATTAATGTAATCAGGCTTAGGATATACAATTTACACAAATTCGTGTGAAACCTACCTACCTACTGTAGATATTAACATTTCTTTGAATATTGAGATCCATCCTTGGAAGTGTTTGAATGAATAATATAATCAGCGTCAGAGGTTATTTGCTTGGATAGTGTGTAAAACAAATTATATACACACTGAATGTAAATAATTTAAACATATCATACACATGGAAGACTTGAGGCAAACATAATATCATTGAAAAAGTTACGTCAAAAATGTAGAGCATTTTTCTAAAATGGCAAAAACAAAATATCAAATTTCAAAACACACACAGCTGTATTGTTTACAAAAGACACGTTTTACGATGTCTAGTAGTTTTCTGCACGTTCTGGAAAATAATAAGTAATGTTATGAACCTTTTAAATCATTCAAACCAGTTTGCAGTTAATTTGAATACCAAAATATCTGTTTGAATAAACTAGTTTAATGGGAATGACGTATTTGATGATAGTATCAATAAAAAAGGTGAAGAATATTTGCCATGCGTTAGATAATGTCACCTAAATATTTAAATTTATTGAGATGGTTTTTACGGTTAGGTATTCTACGAGTACATACAAGTAAAATATACTGTACTTACCGTCAATAAAGCGGTAAGGTAGCTGCTGATCCATCTAAAAGAACAGTAGGTACTATTTGTCAAAAGACATATTTAATTAGAAGTCTAATAATTCAAAAATGCTTCTTTAATCATTTTATTTATCTCGCAGAAAACCTTTTCCGTATAAATTTAGTTTGTGTATCATTTGATGTCTCCAAACAAGTTATCGCCTTTGACACTCAGCTTTATAAGTCTATGCAATTAAATATTGTAATCCAATTCTGCATATCTTTTTCGAAAGAAGATGAATAATAATGATTTATTTTACAACTCTCTAGGTATCGTTTTTGATTAGGAGAATTGATTCAATAAAAATTTACTTCAGAACATACTCGTTTGTCATTTCTTTTAAAAACATACGTAATAATTATGCATTTATTGATTAATTTCGCTGAAGTTTTCTTATGGCGCTGTGTTTTTCGCACTGGTGTAGCAAAACAAAGATTTTGTATACCTTGTAGCAAGCCACAAACTTTCCAAGAAACAATTTAGAGATGCTGTAGATTTTGTCGGCTGCTTTAAGTACAGATCTACAGTACAAGTCGACTCGTTAAAATACTTATCAACCGGTCCAAGCAATATTAATACCTGCTGAGCCACGATCGGACGAGTGGACGACATAATCTATCGATCATTTATAGCAGTGATAAGTACAGCTTTCACTGCTATGGGTGCGTCAAAATCGGGGGCGCCACCATCAACGCGCAAGACAAGTTCCAGTACGGACAAATGTTAGTTCCCTGTTTTATCCGCTGCAGATTTCAAATTGTCGTATTATATCGTTACCCGGTTAAGCGTGCTAGTAACCTTATTATGGTCATGCATCTGGCGGCCATTGTTTGGACATGTTGAATGGGTGTATGGTATTCCATTCATATTGCAGATAAGTAGCGTAGCCTACTGCTACGCCAAACAATCGTTCTATTACCCTTTTGTGCTTTGGTTGAATTAGCTGGTTCATTTGAAAGTCTATGGCTATTGTTTTGCTTAATCCATCCATAGTTAGCCATCTAGCATCGATTTCTAGTTCTAGATGTAGATCTAGGTTGGTAATTTGGTTTCGTATCTGTTACAATTTGGTCTAATGTAAACTACATTACCTACATGTTGTTTTCTATTTTACGTGGACGCCACTTTAAAGTTTTATTGATTTGTATTCGTTTCATCATTGACATCTTACCATGCACTACCAGTGTTTGCTCATTTTCATTCGGTCGTAAATATCTCTGCGTCGTCGTAACTGTCTATGTCACTAACCAATCTAGTAGCTGCACTTGTCAATCCTGTCGCATTAAGTTCTTATGTGGCTCGCATTTCGAAACGTTGATATACTTTATTTTTTGCGTACGGGCCCCAAACTGTTTCCAATCTGATGTCTAAAATTGGGTCACAACTGTGGAAATAAAGGAATGTGCCATGAATATGTAATTTTATTTGATGAAAATATTTTGAGCGAGAAGAGAAGTAGGTACCTACTTAACTTTTTCCAAAATTCAAAGCAAAGGAAGCCTTCCATTGATTTTTCTTTACAATGTACATTCGTAAGGTTTCGCAAGTTTTATAATAATCTGGCTTAAAATAGCCTCTTCTTCTTTCAGACAGTGGAACTAAAGTTCTAACATTTGAATATCTTACACGTGAAATTATCGATCTTTTGTAACATTTCTAGACCGACTCCATTATCTGTTTGCTATGCGCGTTATATTTAGCGTAGTGTGAATACAAACATACGTTTCGCGAATAACACGTTCATAACATTGTGGTTTTAAATCAAGATATTGTTCTTACATCTGTCATAGATATGAGTGACTCAATTACCTTTAGAACTATTGTTTTAAATACTAAATTAACTCGACAGACATCAAAAATATGATTTGGTAAAAAGTTAAACTCCCGAAAGATTTAAAGATACTCTCCAAATTTTTAGCAACAAATAAATATTTTTTGCTAGCGATTGTTTTGTTACATCACTAACTTTCCTTAAACTTGTAAATTAAGTGCATAAATCATATTCTTCCTATTTCCTTTGTTATAACAATATCATTATCATTATAAAGTACAACATTAACAACGCACATCGTTAAGCAAACTGCATCACCGACGTCAGACACTACAATGTAATCGATTATATATCCATTAATTTCCGATTCGTCTAATTTGACATTCTAATTACATACTTATCGAATTGTCCCCACGTCACTATAGCACGTGATTTAGTTAATTGAATTCGTTTAATGTCATTCCATTAGTGAATGCACTTTTACGTCAGACAAAGCATTATTTTTGGGCGTAATTAAGTTTTTCATTATTGTTACGTTACTTGATGAGTTTTTAGTTTGTAATTAATGAAAAAACTCGTAACTTAATGTCTTTCTTTGCACATACTTAATGGTTTTATGAGCAACAGTGCAGTATTTCAATATTTGGAATGATAGAGTCACTACGTTTATAACGAATTAAATAATTATAAAATACGGATCCTTTTGCCAAACGAAGCATTACAAGAGTAGAATTTCTAAATTAACAAATAGGTAGTAGAGTGCATAACATTTTTTTTAAACAATTACCAACTGCATCTCCAAAAAGACGAGCAGTTATTTGCTCTAAGAAAAAGTGCAAAATGCAAGGAAAAGAAGACACCGAGGTGGACAAAAACAAATTCATCATGATTATAAGATTTTTATCAAAAACTCGTTTTCCCACGCCATTTGCGTAGAGGTCGAGTGCCAAGTCTCAATGTCCCTCAAATGAATTCAAATTGGTCTATTCTTGGTCATCATTGGTGATCTCGAATGTCATGATACGTAATGGACTACATGTGTAACGCAGATAAGTGTTAACAAATGACTGTGCGAAGTCTGTGGACCTATTCTTGAAAACGATTTCGATTTCATAGAGTTCGATTCCAGCAGCCCCTTTCCTTCAAATAATAAGAGAGACAAACATAGACTTTGGAGTAGATGGGCAAGTGTCTGGGCAAAGTCTGGGGGCCTATTCGAGAAAACGATTTTGTTTACATCGAAAAAAAATATATAGATTCCAGCTGTCTTTTTCATTTATGTTGGGTTGCTAGTAATGAGCGTGTAACTTATGGGAATAACATAAAATATCTGTGGAATTATTCTAGAGAACGATTTCAACTATATAGAGTTATCGATTCCAGTCTCTTTTTAGCGTTAGGAGTTGCATTTCAAAGTAATTTAAAAATTATAAATAACTTGAAAAAATCGAACTGCCTAAGGCGGGAATTGAACCCACGACCCTTCGCTTACCGGGTGACTGCTCTTCCAACTGAGCTACTTTGACACTGGATGAACCCTCTTCACTCAAGTTGGGTTGTTAAACGTAATAGAGACAAACGTGGACGTCATATCGACTACGTTTGATAAGTGTGAATGAACTCTTATTTTTCACTTGAAATGAAAACTGCTAGTTAATTTGATAAGACAGTATAGTAGGTATTTTTGCCAGCACCTGACTAAATTTTGTCGAAAAATAGCACCTGTCACAACTAGCGACATAGATGACACTGTGCAGGTTGATGTGACGTCATCTTTAAACATGTGCATTTTGAAGACTATAAAACAGATGTTTTGTTATCGAGTCGAATTAATATTCAATATTTGTTAAAGTAAGGAACAGTATTTTTTTTAAATAAGTACCTACAAGGTACTCTACGTAAAAACATGTTTTTTTATGTATTAAGAG